ACTGTGGGGGCGATATGCTGACTCTGTAAAACCGCTTAGAGAGGGCTGAAAGCCCTATGAAGCGGTATATAAGTCTAACTGCTATTGCTATTGCCCCATCCGTGCCTTTTAGTGGATTTATTAGGGGATCATGACAGCTGAGTCTGTTTTTCCCCTCAGCGGTTGAAGCTGACCTAAAAGTCTTCTTCTCCCAGGGTCCTTCCATACTGAGGGAGGATTCGAACCTGGCTCTTTCCTGGTCCAAACTCCTTCCCCCTTTGGCGGCCCTCGAAAAATCTTCTTTTTTCCCCCAGCCACCCTTCTAGCTCTCCCATCCTCTCTGTTTGAGCCCGAAAGGATCGTGCAGCACCCCTTCCCGGATATGCTGGGACTCCAACACCCAGCATCCCCAGCCAGTGGCATTCCCGACACTTTGGAGGGACTGCAAGGCTGGGAAAGGGAGTGTCCTGAGCAGCCGCCCACCACCACCATGATGTGGACTGATCTCTCGCCCCCAAACAGGACATCATCTTGAAACGGGCAGCCGATATCGCCGAAGCCTTGTACAGCGTCCCACGCAACCCTAACCAGCTGACGTCCCTGGCCGGGAACCATGGGCACTCGGGCATGATGGGCGTCAACTCCTTTGGGAGCCAGCTGGCCATCAACATCAGCGAGTCCACTCAGGGCTCGGAACAAGGTAGGCCAAGGAGGTCCTCACTTAGCGACCTTTCATTCCCCGAATGTTCGAAATGACGAGACCGCTGAATGAAGGAACGTTTTGATAGGTACTTGAACTTACGACCGTTGCCGTGCCCCTGCCCTGCCCGGTCATAAGTTGGCGATCTGGGTGCCCCCGCAATTTGTTCAAAGTTTTGTCGGGATGCCAGCGTGACTGCCGTGTGCAATTTTCTCCGATGGCTTCAATGGGGAGAGCCAGGATTGCAGTCACTGAGTGAGGCGGCCACGGAGGGCATCTCGCTTGACAACTGCAATGGCGTACATTTTGGTCTCCGTTGCGGTCGTAAGTCGAGAACGCCAACTACTGTCCTTGGAGCCATCCCAGCTGATGACGCCCATCGCATGAACCTCCTAATAATCTGTGGAAAGGGGGGGGTAGACAACTCCTAAAGCTGGAAGCTCCATTTGCCAGCCCACCTTAAGCGCCATCTGCTGGGGGTTCTTCTCCTCCCCAGTTCCCTGTGGGTCAGAGAGTACAGGCGGCCTTGAGTTATGACCGCAACCGAGCCCAAAATTTATGCGCGCTCAGTGAAACATCAGTGAAGCGGGTTTTACCCCCCCTTTACGACTTTTCCTGCCACCGTTGTTAAGTGAACCCTTGCATTCGCTAAAATTAGCTACACGGCTAAGTGAGTTTGGATTCCCTGTTGACTTTGCTCCTCAGAAAGTCACAAAAGCGGGTCACGTGTCATAAATACGGGTCAGTTGCCAAGTGTCCGAATTTTGATCGGAGGGAAACTCTCACGCTCCCGAGTATGAAAAATATGTCCCTTTTTTCCCACTGCCATTGTAACTCTAAACGAACTGCCGTAAGTGGAGGACTACCTGTGTTTTGATTTATTATTTTTCTCTCCGTCTGAAATTCCAGGATACCCGCGCAGCGCAAGCAGCGTCTCGCCCCGGAGCTACATGCCCAGCTCCACCCCGCAGCAGAGTAACTACAACACCATCACATCTAGCATGAACGGTTACGCAGGCGCCACCATGACTGGTCTTGGGGTTCCAGGCTCGCCCAGTTTCCTCAACGGCTCCACTGCCAACTCCCCCTATGCCAGTGAGTATCGGGGCTGTGTGGTGGAGACCAACAACTGGGCACCAGTTGGATTCATTACTTGCTGTGGATTCCACACAATGTTGTGACAATGAGGCGGTTGGGTGGGGGGGAACCTGGGCCGGTCTTGTAGTCTGGGGAAGGCTCTGACGAGGGTTCTGCGTCGGAGGCAGAGAGGGGGTCCCAGAGCCGTCCGACAGTTATAACTACCTTCAGAGCAGAGGTGGGTTTCTGCTGGCGTTACTGTCAGTTCGGTTCGTGCCCAATTTGCAAAATAGATCTGCGCATGGACAGAACACTGAAACTATCAAAAAAAAACATGCCACCGTGACCAGGGAACCAGTTCGTGGGCGTGGCGAGCCTGCGGGCCCTACCGGTTCGGCGACCCAGTCACAATTTCCACTAACGGTTCTCCCGAACTGGTAGCAACCCACCTCTGCTTCGGAGTCAGACATCAAGTGAGGCAGAAGAACAGGTGGAACTCTGCTCTCTGAACTCCGTGGTTTTCTTGCAGATGTTTCATGAGCCAACTAGGGAACGCCATCAGTTGTAGAAGGGAGTGGGGTTGCAGAGAGAAGGAGGAAGAGGAGGAGGAGGAGGAGGAGGAGGAGGAAGAGGAGGAGGACGACTGGGGGGTCCTTGGTGCTCTCTGAGCTTGGTTGTTTTCTTCCAGACGTTTCATAGCCCACCTAGGTTACATCATCAGTGCTAGAAGACTGAGGGGTTTGCAGAGAGGAAGAGGAGGAAGCCAGACCCCTTCCCTCCCGTCCTGGGACTCGAGACACACACACACACCCCCCGTCTGCTGTACTGACGTGTATCCTTCTTTCCCCTCCCGCCCCCCAGTCATGCCATCGAGCCCACCCCTGGGGGCTTCCTCCACCCCCGCCGGTGTCTTCTCCTTCTCCCCGGTCAACATGATCTCGGCCGTCAAGCAGAAAAGCGCCTTTGCCCCCGTTGTCCGGCCCCAGGCCTCCCCGCCCCCCAATTGCACCAGCGCCAACGGGACCGGCCTGCAAGGTAAGTGGGCTTCCCTTCAAACCAGACTCCCCACCCTGGTGACCCTTGCAATCTCACCCTTACGGCACAGGTAGCCCTCGACTTACGACAATGCCTTTAGTGACCGTTCGAAGCTACAGCGGCACTGGTAAAAGCGACATGGTCGTTTCTCACACTTATGACCATTGCAGCATCCACATGGTCAAAATCCAGACGCTTCACAACCGACTCGTGTTTATGACGGTTTTAGTGTCCCGGGGTCGCGTGGTCCCCTGTGGCGGCCTTCCGACAAGCAAAGTCCATGGGGAAGCCAGATTCACTCAACAACCGGGGGACCGACTTAACGACTGCAGGGATTCGCTTAACAACTGAGGCAAGAACGGTCGTAAAGTGAAGCTGACTGAAGAAATGCAGCACTTCAGAACAGAAACTTGGGGCTCCATTGTGGTCGTACGTCGAGGACTACCTGTCTAGTCTAGGACAGTGTTTTTCAACCTCGGTGTCAGGGATTCCAAATAGCATCCAAAATTAAATCAGAGTCCAAGGCAAAGGATTCCTCAAAGTTCCAATTGATGAAGAGAGCCATGTTGGCACATCTGGGAANGACATCTTCAAGTTGACAAGGTTGAGAAACACTGCGTTAAATAACAATTATAGGGTGTTTTTTTTCAATTTTCTGATGATCAAACCACAGAAGATGAAACATTTAGGAAACCTGGCTTTCTTCTTTATCGGCTGGTTGGGTTTGTCATCGACAACGAGGTGTGTGGTTGTGGTTACTAGTGGAAGCATTGAAAAGTTTTCCTCTATTTTTTCTTTTATTGTAGGGGAGTTTTGGCAAAAAAAAAAAAAGTGAACTTGCCAGTTGCAAAGATAGAATCAAAGTGACCGCAGGGCGTGATTAAAGATCAAAGGTCAATATAGGTAGTCCTCGACTTACGACCACAATGGGGCCCAGAATTTCTGTTGTTAAGTGAGACATTGGCTAAGTGGGTTCGACCCCCGTTTTGCAACTTTTCTTGCCACAGCTGTTAAGCGAATCATTGCAGTTGATAAGTTAGTTAACCCGGTTGTTAAGTGAATCCATTGACTTTGCTTGCCAGGAGGGTCGCAAAAGTGACCCCAGGACATTGCAACCGTCGTAAATATGAGCCATTTGCCAAGCGTCTCAATTTTTGATCACGTGACCCGGGGATGCTGCAATGGTCATAAGTGGGAGAAACGGTCGTAAGTCACTTTTTCCAGTGCCGTTGTAACTTGGAATGGTCACTAAATGAAGTGTTTTAAGTCAAGGACTACCTGTAAATAGTTTGCAATGTTTTCATTCCTCAGTTTCTCAGCAAAACCGCAAACTCTGAGCGCTGGGATGGTTTGGAAACCACATCTCCCCCACCCCACACGCAACACGCCCAAACACATGTGCACACACCAACACACCTGTGCACACACGTACATGCGCAGCACGCAAGGGCCCAGAATTTCACACTCCTCATCACCCCTTGATGCATGCAATGCAAAGGGATCAGAAGGACGCAATGGGCATCACACCTTGACAAGCCTCAAGGGACGTCAACACACACACACACACACACACACACACTGTGGAAAAGGCCCAGAAGGACCCCCCAACCCAGTGACTCCTTGAGGTCCTTAAAGGGACTTCCGGGAGGGAAGCCGGATGGCGTGGAGGCCAACCCGCGCTTCCTCGAGGCCGGAGGAGGAGAATTTGGCGCCCATCCTCCGGCATGAGGGCACCGCTGGGCTCCTGCTGGGTGGCCGGGTGCCTCCTGCTCGTCCTTGGTAAGTCCAGCCAATGCCTCTGGGCAGAGAGCAGCTGGCGGCAAGAGAGGGCTTCGGATGGGGAGTGACAGCTGAAGGCAGCCGCCAAATTGGAGCCATTAATCATGGCTTGACACGGATGCTGCCGGAGCTGCTGAAGGGGCTGTTTGCCCACATGGCTTCTCCATCCCTGATTTTGGGGAGGGGGGCTCGGTGCCCCATGCCTGGGAGGGCCCAGAAACCTCCCACCACTCCACAGTGAACATAACTCCCCCCAAATACTCTCCATTCTCTCCTTCCACCCACCCCCTTTCCAGCCACATCAGGGAGTCTGGGGTCTCCTTCTAAGAAGCCCCCCTTCCCCCCCCCCCCACATAGGCTGTCGGTCTCCGGAATAAAGAGCCTTTTTATCCAAGTTAATTTACTTTCACGATTAGATGTGCTGAGAGGGAAACAGGCAGGGCGGGTTTTCTATGCACAGCTGTCTCCCCAGGAGGGGCTTAATGGAATACGACAGGAGATGCCGCAGGTGAGGTGGTTCTTGAGGTAGACAGACTGTGTATATGGAGGCTCTTTGTCTCATTCATGTGTTGGCCTGGATTCTCTGGGGGCAGGTGAAATTTGGGCAATTGGTGTGCATTGAGTTAGTTATATGTTGAGGGAGGCGGGGAGAAGAAAGAGGAGGAGAAGAGGTGGAAGAGGAGGGGGAGGAGGAAGAAAAAGAGGAGGAGGGGGAAGAGGAAGAATTAAGGATGTGATGACTGCAGCTTTCATGACTACCTTGGCAGAGCTTGCAAAATTCTAAAAAGCATGTTTTAAGAAAATTATATAAATCTCCAATTTGGAGCTAATTTTGAGGAAGGAAGGAAAGAAGGAAGGAAGGAAGACAAGAAGAGATAGATGGGAGGGATGGAACAAATGAGGAAAAAAAGAGAGGGAGGGATCGATGGATGGAAGGAAGGAAGGAAGGAGATAGATGGAAGGGATGGGAGTAAGGAGAAAATGAGGGAAGGAAGGACAAGAGGAGATAGATGGAAGGGATGGAGGGTAGGAGAAGAAGAGAGGGATGGATGGATAGATGGAAGGAAGGAAGGAGATAGATGGGAGGGATGGGAGTAAGAAGAAAATGAGGGAAGGAAGGACGAGAGGAGATAGATGGAAGGGATGGAGGGTAGGAGAAGAAGACAGGGATGGATGGATAGATGGAAGGAAGGAAGGAGATAGATGGGAGGGATGGGAGTAAGAAGAAAATGAGGGAAGGAAGGACGAGAGGAGA